GAGTCAACTCATGGGAACCAATGCTAAAGTCTGCCTGAAGTCTGATCCTGTGCCAAAGATCCTTATGCCAAAATCTTAAGCCACATAAGTAGAGAACACGTGTATGGATCTGTAAGTCTGCATAAGATCCCTGGAAAGGGATCACAAAATCTGCTCCTGTAACTTAATTTCAAGGACTAAAAAGTGTCAGAACTAATAAAAATATTTTTGCTCATGTTATTACTGTAGTACTAATGAGACGTCCTGTTCCAAGGCATAGTCTGAATAAATGGATGCAGAAAGGAACTTTTCCTCTTTATATTCCAAAATTGTGGAGATGAATCTGTGGAAAGCTCCACATACCTTTGAACCATCTCACTGGAAGTAGACAGTGGAGTTGGTGAATTACATATCAGCTCTGTTATGGGAAATCCTATGTTTCTGTGTAAAAACACAAACTCCCAAGAAGTTGCTTGTGTGGTTTGTACTTAAGGTTGGTCCTACAGATCAGGTTCTGAGAGAAAGACATTATCAGTTCTCTCAAAAACAAAAATACTTATATTAAAATAAACATTTATAATGGAAACAAACTATTTAAAGTGCCAGAATAAAATCACAGAATCACAGAATGATTTAGGTTGGAAGAGACCTTAAAGATCATCTCATTCCAATACCCCTGCCATGAGCAGGGATACCTTTCACCAGACCAGGTTGCTCAGAGTTCCATCCAACCTGGCCTTAAACATTTCCAGGGATGGGGTGTCAATAACTTCTCTGAACAACCTGTTTCAGTGCCTCACCACCCTCATAGGAAAGAACTTTTTCCTAAAATCTAATCTAAACCTGTCCTCCTTCAGCTTAAGGCCATTTTACCTTGTCATATCATTACATGCCCTTATAAAAAGTCCCTCTCCAGCTCTCTTGTATGCCCCTTTTAGGTACTGAAAGGCCACAGTGAGGTCTCCCCAGAGCCTTCCTTCTCTTCTCCAGGCTGAACAACCCCAACTCTCTCAGTTTGTCTTCACAGAGGAGGTGCTGCAGCCCTCTAATCATCTTGGTGGCCCTCCTCTGGACTCGTTACAACATGTCAATGTCCTTCTTGTGTTGGAGTCCCCGGAGTTGGATGCAGTACTCCAAGTGGGGTCTCAAGAGCAGAGTAGAGGGGGAAAATCACCTCACTCAACCTGCTGGTCATGCTTCTTTTGATGCAGCCCAGGATGTGGTTTGCTTTATTTCTTCAATATGACACTGCAAGTGCATTGCTGAGTTATACTGAGCTTTTTGTTCACAAACACCTCCAAGTCCTTCTCCCCAGGGTTAGTCTTGATCCATTCTCCACCCAACCTGTATTTGTGCTTGGGATTGCCCCAACGCAGGTGCAGGACTTTGTACTTCACCTTGTTGAACTTCAGGAAATTCACAGAGGCGTACTTTTCAAGCCTGTCAAGGTCTCTCTGAAAGGCATCCTTTCCCTCCAGCCTGTCAACTGCACCACACAGCTTGGTGTCATTGGCAAACTTGCTGAGTGTGCACTCAATCCCACTTGTCCATGTCACAAAGATACTAAGAAGTGCCAGTTCCAACACCAAATCCTAAGGAACACCACCCATCACTGGTCTCCAAGTGGACATTGAGCTATTAACCACAACTCTGAGTGCAACAATTCAGTCAATTTTTTGTCCACTGATTAGTTCATCCCTCAAATCCATGTCTCTCCAGTTTAAAGACAAGGGTGCCATGCAGGACAGTGTCAAATGCTTTGCACAAGTCCAGGTAGATGACATCTTTTGCCCTTCCCTCATCTACCACTGGTGTAACCCCATCGTAGAAGGCCACCAGATTTCTCGGGTATGATATGCCTTTAGTGAAGTCATGTTGGCTGCCACCAATGACAACATTATTTTCCATGTGCCTTAGCATAGTTTCTAGGAGGATCCTAGATTCCATGATCTTGCTGGGCACTGAGGTGAGACTGACCAGGCCGTAGTTTCCCAGGTCTTCTTTATTTCCCTTTTTTTTAAATGGGTGTTATGTTTCCCCTTTCCCAGTCAGTGGGAACTTCACTGGACTGCCATGACTTCTTAGATATGGTGGATAGTGGCTTAGCCATATCCTCAGCCAGTTCCCGTGGATGTATCTCAGCAGGTCTCATGGACTTGTGCACCTTCAGATTCCTTAGATGTTCTCAAACCCATTCTTCTCCTACAGCAGGCAGTTCTTCATTATGCCAATCCTTGCTTTCACCTTCTGCAACTTTGGCAATGTGGCTGGAGCACTTGCTGACGAAGACCGAGGCAAAAAAGTCATTGAATACCTCAGTCTTCTCCATGTCCTGGGCAATCAAGTCTTCTGTGTCCTTCCTGAGAGGACCCACATTTTTCCCTAGTCTTTCTTTCATCACTGATGCACCTAATGGAGCTTTTTTGCTTATCCATTATGTTCTTGGCCAGATTTACTTCTAGCAGTGGTTTAGCTTTGGCTTTAGCTTTCCTAATCAGATCACTGGCTCTTGGGACAATTGCTCTGTATTCATCCTAGGTTACCTTTACCTGCTTCCATCCTCTATAAGTTACCTGTTTAAGTTTGTCCAGGAGCTCCTTGTTCATCCATGCAGTTCTCCTGGCGTTGTTCCTCGATTTCTTCTTTGTAGGGATGCATTGCTCTTGAGCCTGAAGGAGACAATCCTTGACTATCATCCAGCTCTCTTGGACTCCTCTTCCCTCCAGGGCTCTATCCCACAGCACTCTACCAAGGAGATCCTTGAAGAGACCAAAGTTTGCCCTTCTGAAGCCCAGAGTAGTGAGATTGCTTCTCACCCTTCTTGTTGCCCCAAGGATCTCAAACTCTACCCTGTCATGGTCACTGCAGTCCAAGACCAGGGCTTGGCAACACGAGACTGCTCCTGTCTGTCTGTAGCAGGCTTCATCGGCTTGGTCTTCCTGCTCAGGTGGCCTGTAGCAAACCCTCACTATAAAATCACTTGATGCTGTCCTTCAAGTGTTCTCCTGCTGACCTGTATACCCTCTCCAGGCCCTGGGCATCTCTTGCTGGCTCGGACATCCAACTGGTATGAGTGGGATGACACGTCGTCCCACATCTCATCACTGTTAAATCTCTTCAGGTCTAATTTTTACACTTGAAGTCTAATAAATGCCCATAGTAAGAGATAACTGGACAGGATTTTTTCACTGTATTTTCAACAATGACTAATCTGTCAGCATGGTATGAAAGCCCATTAACTCTGACACTGAAAAGGCCTCAAGCAAATATTTCAAGCCTACAACTACTCTGTGGAACACTTTAGATATACTTTTAGTGCCAAACTATATTTTTTTTACTATATTCATTTCTAAGTAACAGTGGACACAAGAACTGTTATTGTCTTGCTAAAGCATGCACATATGCAATAATACATGTCAAAAAGTCCTGGGGATTGGTGGAGTATTTGTAGTTTATGACTGCTGTCACGTGAAAACAGGAGATTTCCTCGACCCTTAACAATTTATTTGTCTGTCAGGCCCCAGGAAAGCCAAGGCCCTTTTGCCCAATCAATCTGTCAGTATCCTGTTATGGGGACCCTTCACCAAACAGTGCCACTGGATCAGAGGGTGATTTGACTGTCCTTTTCAGGAGTCTAAGCCAACAGCATAAGGAAGTCCCCTCAGTGAGTCTTCCCACTTTATTTGAATGTGTTACCAGCTGCTGGCAGCTGCCAGCACCTGTGAAGGAGTCACTCAGCTTACAGAACAACACCTTTTATTAATACAAAATTGTGACAAGTTAAGGTTCGAAGATTGCCAGCCAGAATATCTGACTGCAAAAATGTATTTAATGCAATACACGAGCAAGCTCTAATCCAAATAAAAGTATTCAGCACATGTATAGTTCTTACCCAAAGGCATCCCAATGGGGGAGAAGACAGGTTCAGCCCATCAACTATCTCAGCAGTCACGATGGAGTCTTCCCTGATTTTCTTCCCATTCTCAACTTACTTTTATACTATTTCTTTATGTTTAGGTGGAGCTTGAGTGACTTCAAAAGCTTTGCTTAATTGGACTTTAAAAGCAAAGCTTTTAAAGCAAAGCTTTTAAAGATACAGTAAAAAAAATATAGGGTACATGTTCAGAGCAGGATAGTCATACCTTGGAGGTGGATAAATTTGGGATAGAGGTGTGTATTGATATTACAATTGTGCTTTAACAAAGCAAGTTCATCCGAGGAGAGAGATTTCGCCAGAAGGTTTGGCTCAGCAGAAGGACATCTCCTTTTATCTCCCTTGCTTGACAGGTGTTATGTGGTCCTATCAACTACAAAGTTCCACCATGTTCCTCTCTCTGCAAGGATTTCCTTGGAGGTCATGGCATCTCTACTCCTCTCCATGCTCCGTTCCAGCCCTCGTAGCAAGTACTTATTTCTGTATGGGGAGTTATTGTGGAGCATGTAGACCACATTCCATCCAGCGATTAGCAGCTGCATTTTACCCTATAATTTCTGTACCATTGTAACTTCTTTTAGGATGTGAATATAACTTCTTAGTTTCCTCTAATTTTTACCCCCAGCAACTTTCCCACAACTGTTCTGTGCAACTTTTGCATTGTACTTAGAAAATGCAGTTTACCCCACGGACATATTTAAAAGGCTGATGTGTGAGACCTGCACATCCTTAGATTATTGCTATTTTCTAAAATTGTAAAGAAGCCCCAAATAATTACATCATTTTCAAGTAACAGCTTATCTCAACATTCTGCAACATTCCCCATTTAGGTTATATTAAACATCAAGTTTAGTCAAAATTATCACGGTAAACTGCAACATTTGGAATCTGTGGACAATCTTCTAGATACAACAATTCAATCTCTACCTGCAGCATTACATCATGGGTTCCTCAGTGCTTTGCAAATTTTGCCAAATGATCATAATCTTGTATTGCCTGCATTTTTTTTTTAATTGGAAGGGTCAAATTAGTTTGTCAAATTATAAATAAGCCTTCTATAATTCTAAAAAACACACTGAACACAAACTCCATTTGAACTGACAATTGCCATTCATATTATTGAGAGATTTGAGGTATTCCCGAAGAGAATAGGCACCAGTGAAGTTGTTGGATCCAGATGTACCGAACCACAGGAACATATTCAGTTAACACCCTGTGGAAGAAAAAGGTACATTTCAGTACAACTATATTTTCTAAATCTCTAAATTGGCTTGGCTTCAAGATAGGCACACATTCATACTGTCTGAAATCCATCACTTCAATGTCACCACTTAGCAATCTCTTTGGAATTTGAAAGGCACGTAGCCAGCAGGTGTGCAGCTAACTGTCTCTTGTGTAGGGAAGGGAGCAAGTTTTAGTTACTATAGAACTGGTCACAGTGAAAGCAACCAGCAGAGAAAACTCATGACAGTGGAATGAGTAGAGTGAAAAAACAAGCCCTCCTCCAAGTCAGATATTTCAACCTTTTTCCACACACACAAAAGAAAGGGACTACCCATTTTAAAAATAAGACTTAGACAAGTATTTTAGAGTTCAAGACCTTCAGTGTGTTATTTTGTCTCTTTGCTTAATCATTCAAAGACTTAATGTAAAAACCATGAGTCCTTTCGAACTAATATGCCCACTTACTTCTGCTCCTCAGTGGTGAAAAACTGCGGCTTCGAAACGACTGCAACAGAAAAAGAAAGGACACTCAGATATGCTAAAAAACTGCACCAAAGAAAACTACCTGGGGGCCCATCAACATTCAGAAAACTTGTACATGTCTATCAGTGCAGCTCCACAGCTACAAAGTCAAGTTCGACAACTTTCTAATTTTTTTCACACCCCCCACACACAGAGAAAAGTGAGCCATACCCAAAGCCTCTCATATTTTCAATATTCACATTTTAAGTTGAGGGCACCCATGTCAATTTAATAAGATGGGCTAACAATTAGAAAAATATATGTTTTTTACAGAAATAATTAAAAATGTTGTATAACTAGACCATACACAGAACTCTGCTAAGGTTTCACATATCTTATCAGTACCACCTCAGGTCTTCCCCTTCTGCTCACCCTACAGTTATTTTCTGTTCCACTCTGGCATTGGAGAGTAAATTTAGGTTACTAATTCTGGGAGGCACAAATTATGTGCTGTCTATGTACTGCAAGATGACTAAAACAATTCCAAATGATGCAATCAGTTATTCTGAAGGGTACTGAAGCAAGGGGGAGTAGGGGCAAATCATTCTAAGATACTGCATGAGAAGTAGATCACAGTTAAACTCTCACAAGTATCAACTGTGTATCTCCGCTGATCAATATCTATCAGTTCAGCTATCTGTCAGTTCAGCTTCACCTCATTCAAGACCTTCAAGCAAAGGCATTTATTCCCAATGTTAAAATGTACATGTGGCACATCAGCATTTTTAATAGGCTGCCTACATTCCTAGTTAAAATACTTAATGTTGTTAATACTACAAGCATTCAGCTGAGGCTTACATGACTAGATAGGAGACGACGGGTGCTACAGCTGCAGCTTCTGCTTCTGATTTTACTTCTGCGAAAGCACTACAAGAGAAGAGTTTGACAAACCTCTTTTGAGAGAGAGGGTTTAATAAAGACAGACTCTGCAAGCAGATTTGCCATGCTGGAAACAAGGCTTGAGGACAGAGAGGAAACACAGTAAACTTTCTCCTTAGAACAGGCTCTGCCAATAATCATACATCGGCATAATTAATACATTAAGGAAAATGGAACTATTCATCCTAAATAAAGGATGAGGCACTAAAACCTAACTGATACTTGACATACAACTCCACTCACAAAAGGAACAGTTAAGAACTTATCTTTTTAAATTTTAAAAACAGTGCTGAAATCCAATGACTTCCCTTAACGTAATCCTTAACAAAATACGTACCAGAGACACCCTTTTAGTGACTACCTCTCCCTTCACAATTACAACACCATCTTCCACCAGAGCAGGCCATACGTGATAGGCCACAAAGGCAGCTGTGAAATCTGAGTCAGGACTACGATAGTACCTGTTGAAACACAGAGTACAAGAAATGTCTGCATATAAGTGCCAAAAGATAAATATGTTTCAAATCATAAATGCTGATAAAAAGCAGAATACTAGCTATAGCTCTAATATCTTTCTTGACAATTTTTCCATATGTCAAAAATAAGTATTCTTTAAGTGATCCTGTAAAGGAAATGCAGTTGTAAGAGATTTATCAGGACATACTGTTTACTTATACTGACAGGCACTCCAACAAAGCCATCTCACACTTCAGGAGATCAGCAGACCATATTTTTGCATAAGCCCAATACAAGCCAGGGTCTCTGTGTCCACTGACATACCAAATCTGCTGAGCAGCAATTTGGCAGGCATAGTCATCCCATCTTCCTGAAATATCTTGCTAAAACAAGACTCCTATAAAGGATATTATAGAATACTCTATATCAACTATAAAGGTACATCTTAGTATCTTATGAGACATGAGGCAACTTTATTAGCAAGATCCTCAGATACTGATAATGAAACGGTGACATTTTAGCTAAGAAAAGTTAATTCAAGGGCCTATGTTAACATACCAGATATATATTACCTCAATAAGTCTGGAATATTGGCTAAATAATGAAGTCTCTGGCTTTGTGGATTCAAGCTCAAAACAAATACAAAATAACAGAAGTAAAAAATAGCAATGCATCTACACTTCAGCAATGTATTACAATAGCAAGTTATATTAAAACAATATTGTTAACATAGGCATGAAGCAAGGCATAGGGTGTGATGAGGTTTGGGCAGCCCTTACAGAATGGTATCACACATAACTAACAGAGATATTTTAATTTCTACAAGTTTTGCTCCATCTCTGTGTACCACATATACACACTGTACACGTAAACATATATATGCCACATTTATCCATATAGATGGATAGATGAGAGTATGTGTCTCCTGCAGTAGCATGTAAAAACATATTACACCTGTTTTTTGAAGGCCACACACAGCAAGTAGGTGGAGAAAGTATCCCCAGACTATACCATTGCTTTGTTGCCTTCTTAAGTCAGCCAATAGCTTTGGGTATCAAGAAGCTAACTGCCCAGTATTTGGACAGGATCATTGAGCAGTCCTGTATGACTTTGCACTTTTCTGTTGAAAGGTTACTTTCATCTTCTCCATTTCTTTCATTGGTTTCTCAAGCACTTCCCCACCTGTGTTCCATTCTATTTTAAATTATTATTAGAAACCTTTTTATTGATCTAGGAAATTTTTTTTTTTGCTTTTGAGAGCATTTTTTGTTTGAGTTATCAATCCTATTAATTTTCTAGAAGGCATGGAGGCATCCTGTAGTTCTCTGGCAGCTAACAAAGACCTGACCCTATAGAAAAAACAATGTTATGGTGTGACTTTTTTTTAAAAACAAAATTCTCTTTCTTAAAAGTCATTCTCCTTTCTGCTCAGCTGTAAACCAGAAGAGATGGTAGCATATTAGTACTCATATGTTGTACAGCAGCCACAGCCTGGAGGTTGCAGCAAACACATTGATGATCTTGGTAGCGGGCACCAATTGCCAGATCTCAGTAAACATGACTTTTACACAATAGGCCAGAAAGGAGGAACAAAGATGCAAATATTTGTTAAAAGGCAGGTAGAGACTAAATAGGAAAAGGAAAGCTGGTAATAATTTTCCTCTTCAACGATAAATTAAATACGCTCTAGAAACTGAAGTTTATCCAGAAAATCGCTCTGCTGTTCATTAAAAAAAAAACTGTTAACACTTGTCTAAATCCTGGCATTTACACACTACCATAAAACCTCAAAGACATACCAAATTAACTGTAGATCAGGAATATTTGCCCAAAATTCATGTTTAGCAATCTTAAACATTTATATTAATTAAGGAACAAGTAGACTATACAACCTGATGGATTCTTTTAATAATAAGAATCTAACTGAATTTTAAGAGTTCTTACTTGTTCTCATTGAAAAGTTCTCCATCAATACCAAAGGCAACATCAAGAGGAGGAATGAGTGTCTGCATTGAAAAAGCCAAACAGCACAACTCTTGAATCAAAGTGCTGAGAACAATGAAATCAATTTCTGGTGGAAATGAAATCTTTGGGTTGAAGTTCATGGAGCGAATTACTTCCTGAAAATAAACACATTTGAGTAATTTTCACTCACTAACAATTTAATTCACAGGAAAGTATGGAAACCCATCCTAAGTATGCCTCTCAGCTTTCTACATTTAAAAATCAGTATCAGAAGCTCACAGTAATTGCCTTAGACTATTTCAGAAAATAATAGCTTCAGAAAGAATGTACTGTTATTTCAGAAATCAAGTATGAGCTACATTATTGACATAAATCTTAGGAAGGAGATGCAGCTTTTCAACAGAAAACAAAATTCAAGAAAAATGTGAAATGTAGCTTACATTTATTTGATTAAGACAGTTACACTGTATCTTCAAAAATATTATTCTTGCAGACAGAGAAATTCTAGTCACAGAAAAATAAAACAAGCGATTACTAACCCATACTTATACCAGTCCTAGCAATATTATTTTGGAAAGTACACTGCTACAAGACAAATCCATATGATAACTTTTTTCTTCTTCAGGTAACAGTGCATTTCTAGTTTACACATTCTGAATTTAACAGCTCCTGAAATAGATCAACATGTCGCTTCCCCACTGCCCTTGACCTACCTTGACACTGGCATGAACATCATACTCATCCTTGTGGCAAACTATATAATCCAGCACAGTGTCTTCAAGTGACTCAGGCCCCGAGTGACTTAGAGACAGAGCCTCTTTTACATGTATTTTGAACTTCCAGTAGGCCATCTTTGCTGCATAAAAAGACTCCTGCAAACATAAAGAACATCTAGTTAAATCCAGGAGACTGGATTTAATAAATTAATTAATTTATTAAATTAATTTAATTAAATATTAATTAATAAAAATTAATTTTTTATCAGTTATCTGAGAAAATGAACTTAACCCAGTATCATCATCATAAGGAGGAATAAAAAACACTGCTATAAAAGGGAAGTTAACTCATCTGGAAGGAATTCTCTGATTGAGTGAAACTTCTTTGCAGAAGACAGGATTGAAAAGATTCTCATCTAACCATCTATATTTGCATAGGATTCCATCACACACCCATGATCAATACAACCACATTCAAAGATATCAAGAGTAATAGCATTTTATATGCCATAGCCCAACACATCAGACAGGAACTCTTCTTGTTTGTCAGGAAAAAAGGTTGAATTAGAGAGTGTAAACTGAACAACAGTTGGAAAAAACCTCCAATAAGTTAAATGTGCTTGGGATCACACACATTAAGAGACAGGCTGTCTGTCTGACTCAGGTATGTACTACATCATTTTTATAGAAAAGAAGATCAAGTACAGAAAAGATGAAAACAAATTTCTTCAGACTGAGCTCATAGTAAATATGAGGTATGTAGGTAGTTTCAAGGCACCCAGCAAAACGAGAAAAGCACACAGCTACAGGCAAAAAGAAAGCATTCTATGGAAAAATTTTTATCTTTGTACTGTTGTAGTATATAATGTAGTATTCCCAAAAGAATTCATCTAAATAAAGCAGTGTTGATCACTGCAGGAATCAGCTTCTTTTCAGAGCCATTAAGTCTTCTTATACACTCTTTGTAGCATCCATACTACAGATCACTGACCCTGTTCCAGTGTTGGGACAGGTCAGTCAGGACACTAACGTGGGAGTTCAATATAGAAGTGTGAGTGGAAGAAAGAAAAATCAACAAGAAAAAAGGACGAAAAGTTTTCTTCTCTGTATTTGAATATAGTAGAAATGCTAATTTACCTACAATTTAGTCCAGTGTAGACATAATATTTTATAAAACACTTCAGGCCTGTAAAATAAGAAATATTATTTCTTTCTTACCACAGCTGCAGTGTATATTATCCTCTGCACCATCTCCACGTCACTGATGTAAGTCCTCAAAAGGGTCTCCGCATCGAAGCGTTCCTGAGCATAAATGAAACCAAAGCGAGCCACCAGGCAGGCGCGACGGGAAGCGTTGATGTGCCTGGCTCGGCCAGGTGACCAGCTCTTCGGGCGAAGGGAACGCTGGGACTTGGCCCCACTGCGCCTGTAAGGAGAGCGGCTCCGCACGAGCCTGCAACAGACATGGAAAGAAGCTTGAGGTCAATTCACCGTCTTCAGATGTTTTTCCCCAGTACAGAGTTTTGAGTCAATTTAATTTTTATCAAATTGAGCTAAGATTTTGAGCCAATGCAATTAGAGAAGCTGCAGCTGTTTAGTCTAATATGAAGGCATTTGTGTCAATATATTTTATGGGCTAAAGCATAAACAGTAAAAACAAAGTATTTCCTAAAGTGTGTACAGACAAGCACTTTGTTCTGGGGAAACACACTTCTAACAAGTAATAATTTGGAGATTTGTTCCTCTTTCTGCACTTTGACTGAAGTCAAACAAGTGAGAATATAACAAGTTCTGCCCTGTAATGGTACAGCGTTCAGAGGACTCAAAAAAAAAACCCCTAACCATTTCTTTTTATTCCATACAGTTGCTGTCAATGTATTTTTCAAAGCTGCACTATTTGCTGTTTTGTCTAAAACTTAGCTGCTTTAAATTAAAATATTTCGGCACTAGGAGAAATCAGCCAGAGTTTATATTCCCTCATAACAAAGTGCAAAAGCTCAACTTTTGTTTATTCTTCAGTTTCAAATGAGGAGGGAATTCATGCTACCTAACATGAACAATTTCTATAATTCAGTGACTTCTCTAATAACGCCTCTACCTGCTCTGAAGAACAGACTTTCGGGCATCCAGGATAGTAATCTCATCCCGCAGCATTTGAATTTGCTGCTCATAGTCATTCAGACGCTCTAGCTTCTTCAGGGCATCCTCCTCTTCGGCACGGGAAGTGTTCAGACTTAATCACACAGAATAAAGTCAGTCACGAGATGCCCTTCTATCAATGTAAACCATCTATCAATTAATCCTCATCATCAAAAAAAAAGGAGCAGAAAGAGAGGAACATTTTTGAGCAAACTCCTTATGCTGAAATACAGGAAAAATCAAGAATTCAAAAAAGCATACTCCAAAGTAGACTCTTAAAAATGTCAAAGTGTACTGTAGCAGGAGAGTGGATACACTACACTCTGTTACAGGAGAAATCACTGGTTAACATTTGGTGTCCTTATGCTAGCTCAGTTGATGAGGTCTAAAAGAAACTGTTTTCTTTCTCATATTTAAGATTTTAACTAAACCAGCTCAGTTTTCTTTCCAAAGGAAGATTAAGAACCTAAGTATTTTCTCCATGAGGTACTAGGGCTCTTTTCTTCACTGGAATATAGTAGTCAGTCAAAGGGTATCCACCAATGAAGTTATTCAAGTAATATCAAAAGCTAATGATTCCTCTCCTGCTGGCCCCAAGAGAAGCACTGTTTCTTAAACATCGGCAGACAACCAGTTAAGCAAGTTTATCTTCTGTCCTTTACTCTTACTTAGTATCAAAAAGTATCTCAACGTCTCTGCTTTCTCTCCCAACACAGGTATTACTGTTGTTTCCTCTTTCCAAAAGCGTAGGGGGGAAAAGGATGCTTTCTATTTACTTTGAAGGTATTCAGTCTGTCCTTTTCTTTACCGAAGGATCCTGGTGAGATTTTTGAGGATCTGAACCAATGAAAGCTGTAACACTTATCAGTCAACAAGCTTCCTCTTCCGGCTTTTTAAGGAGCAGGCTGACTGAGAGGACCACAGTAATAAGACGAGCAACATCTGCTAAGAGGAAAGACTGTCCAATCCCATGGACACCCTTAGTCAGCTCCTTCAGGAAGGACTTCTAGCTGAGTACTAGTAAAAGAGGGCTAAAGAATTCTACTATAAAGAACAATTTAGAAAGAAAAGTAGATTTGGAAAGATGAGTTCTAAAGGTAGGTATGGGGAAAATTCAAACTGATAGTCTTGGAAACACTTCATAAGGACATGAAACTACATCACCTGTTGTACTGATCCAAGACCTGTGAACATTTATTGTTCTTATGCTAACAGGATGCACAAGAAGCCACTTGGAGCTATCTCTAAAATGGTCCTGGAACTGGCATTAACTGCACAATTTGTATCTGAAGCAATTTAGTAATTTTGAGACTATAGTGCTCCACAAAATATGTTTGAAGCAATTAGGCAAAAACTGTTCAGTCCTAGTCACTTAGCAAAACCTACTAAGTCAATTTATAAATGTGTGTATGACTGTAGCATTTGTAGCCCACTTTGGATACATATATACACAATATACAGCCTAGATACATTTTGAAGCTCTGATTGTAAGCCAGACATGAAACATTTTACAAATCTCCATCATTTTTAGATGTCAAGAGAAAAATGTGGCTTGTTGAAAAACAAAAAGCAAATAAAAGAAACACAGTTAATTTCCCTACTCTTGTTCCATCTGGTTGATCTGCAGCCGAGTTGAAGTCAGTTTTTCCTCCAGGTCTTGCAGTGGACAAGTCTCAGGTGTGGTGTCCAGTTCCATCTGGTTGATCTGCAGACGAGTTGAAGTCAGTTTTTCCTCCAGGTCTTGCAGTGGACAAGTCTCAGGTGTGGTGTCCAGTTCTCTCAGCTGCATCTCACTCCCAACTGAATCCTACCAGGAAACACAAAGTCACACTGTTTGAATGTACTACCTTACGGAATCCCTCAGCAATATACTAGAGAATTATTAGCAGATGTATTTCTAAAGATTTCAGTAATGACCATTTCTAAAGAAACTGAGAACAAAAGCAATCGCATACCATCTAGAGACATAAGCAATCCCTTCCAGGCACACCAAACACAGACTCAATTATGTTAAGAAAAATATTCACTTCTCTTTTACCTCATGATAGAACTTATGGAAGGTCTGCATATGCAGATTTACTGCTTGTATACACATCATCAGAACAAAGCATTTTGCAGATGTGTTGCACAGTTAGTCAACTTCTGATTGGCTATATCACCAACTCAAGTAAACTTTTTGGTAATTCATGTACACAAAGGAACAGAAAAAGTTATTAGAGGAGGCAAGTATTGTCATTCCAGAAAGCACACTACTACACATGCAGTTCTGTCTTTAACAACCTATAAAGTTGCCTGATACTACTGGAATTAAATAAGTAATTGTGTAGCAGGCTCTTTAAATGCAATAACAAACCTGTAACTGGCACACCTGGTGTACTGTCATTTAATAACATCATTATTTTATATTTTGTGGGGTTTTGCCAGAATCCTGCTCCTGCATTATACTAGAATCTGACTCTTATGGGATATCACTTTTCATTTGTGCTTATTTTAACCGTGAAATATTTTGACAGAGGAGGTATAAAAAATGAGAAATTAGAAAACATCGAGACATCACTGTCAAACCTCAGGATTCTGAGTATTTTCCCACAGTCTACATTGGTCAATGTTGCTATTTTCTTTCAAAGCAGAAAACTTTTCTGCCAAACTGTTAGTACTACAATCCTTTCAGTAAATATCAAATACATACTAACTCCAAATATCACAGCAGGAATGTAGTGGTATCATGAAGGACATAAGCACTTTTTATTTAACCCTTCTGGAAATAATGTTAAGACAGTCCAAGACTTTTTCCTTCAAAAAAAAAAATAAAGAGAGTTCACAGACTAATGTATGCACACCTTCAGCTTACATGTGTATTTTCACACAGTGTTAGGTTTTTCTAACACAGATATGGCCTACATATTTCTGTGATGTCTCTGCGTATGTAAACATAGCAAATCTCTACTGAGGAAAGGAAAGCAGTACAATAACATAGACTTCTTTTACAATGCAAATTCCTATACAATAGCATGCATGTCTCCAAAGGTGTCTCCATGAGCAACTAAGAATGTATTACATTAAGCAAAATCTGGTAGGGAGGTCATTATTAACAGAAGTCAATAAAGTTCTTCTGCAGGTATAAATTCACATGGTAATATACATACCTGAGTGATGGAGAGGTTGTTCTCAAAGCTCTTTCCCGAAGTAGCACAGTAAAAACAAGTCCCTAGCTGTGGCAAGAGACGTTTTTTTATTGTTTCTGCACCTTCATTATTACCATCTAAGAAAATACATACATTAAGAAATTGTGAGAATACTTACAGAAAGAGCCAGAGTTTGAAAAAAATGTCACATGTGAAAAGTGTTAGTAATTAAACAAGACACTGATTTACCTTCTTGAGATGTTTCATTGAGAATTGTGAAGAGCTGTTTTTGAATCTCAGTGTTCAGTTCTAATATTTCACAGCATCGGTTCAGATTCTCACCAGAGGAATTAATCTGTAAATTAATGTGTATTACTATATCTGTGGGGGTTTTCTTACTTCAAGTTATTCCTGTTACGATCATGATTTTTTTTCCCCTATAATTGCATCTTCACAAGCTTTTCTTACTACATCCTCTAGAATACTCATCTGTTTTAAGGTTCACATTGTTAACAGGCAAACAAACAACATCAAACTTCTATCACTATCAGGACTTCTATCACCCAGTTAATTCACTACCTGAGAAAACTTCTTTATGAATGGAGAAGGAAGTAAGTTGCAATCACAAATGACTCTAAAAGAAGAATCATTATAATTGTCGATCTGAGTTGAAACCATTCAACAGTTATTAAAATAACAATATAGCAGATTGTTGGATGAAAAATAAAACATATTAGTCCAAAAACTGGTTTTCCATATTAGCGAAAATAATACATATAAGGCTATTATCTTGCTTTGTCAGCAGTCACATGAGGCTTCCATGCAATTTCATCTGATTTTTAAGAGTTACGAACTGAAAAAAAACCACTGAAGTAGGGGCAAAATCCAGCACTATGCCTAGGAAACAGCAAAATGACACCACTTTCAGGAAATGCAATTTTGAAAAGGAGTAGGATACTACTGTACCTGCCAGGAGACCACATACTTTGCACCTGCTTCCTTAATCTTTATCTGTAACCTGCATAGCACCTTCCACACAGATCACCCTGTAGGTTTTCAGGTTCTAATGACTCCATATGGGTTTTACAAGCTTCCAAAACAGCTGAAATTCTCACTCATGCCTCTGTCAGCTTGCATTTTGATTGCTGCAACATGCTTTCCTCTGGCCTTGGGGAGCACAGTCAACCTGCTCACCTCCACCAGAACACGGCTGCAAAGTGCATTTTTCCAGTTCATTACAGTCACATAACACCCATGGTGCTTCCATCTGCCACCTCCTCTTTTTCTGCACCAGCAGCCTGAAGCTGTTCATGTTCATTGCCCAAGACCTCAGAGACTACCTGCAACTCACTTAACCTAGAGAATTCAGCTCCCACTAGTCCTCAGCCCTCCCGAGGTCTACCTGCACCATCCATTTGCAAGACCGTAAAACGCATGCCACTGCTCTTCCTGCTCTGGCATTCTCTGTGGTAGCTTTATCAGCTACTCTCGAAATACTTAAAACTCTTCTTTGCCAGGAATCCCGCAGAGAGTTACACTAGCTATTAACATCCTGTAACTCCTACCTACCACAAAGTAAAAAAAATATTTGATTTCCCTTGAAAAGGCTACATCTCTGCTCAACACCTTTTCTTACCAACCATAGTACACAGCAGGTGGTTAAAGGCTCGTGACCAAATCAACTATCCATCTCCTGAAGCTAAGGAAACCTAGGGTTGCACAAGTGAGAACTCTGTCAAGATTTTTTCCACTGAGAAAAGGCACAGTTGTGAAGTCTGGGGTTCCTTCAACTCATCGTTCCCTAAGTTTACATCTTCTCTACTGCTTCTACTGTTGCACCTCCACAGTCCCCTGTTACCGCTGACTCCGCCGTGGAGGAGCCACCTGCAGCCTTCTCCTCACCCACACCCGAAACTTCCCTCTCGCCCACTTCCCCCTTTCAGAAGCCCTTTGGCAGCCGTGCTGTCTTGCAGCAGCCTCTCAGCTCTAATAGGTTTCCCATCCAGAACAGCTGGATGCCGGATAACCCGTTCTCACTTTCAGCACCCTTTTTCCTCACGTTCTCCTGACTGTTCCCGGGCTACGAGCGATTCCTTTTGCACACTCCCTGACCCGCGGTCCGTCCACCTGCTGGTCTCCACCACGAAGCTCAGCTATGCTCCGGACACAGCCACCGCCGCTCAAACCTTGCTTTTAACCTCCAGCTCTTGCTTTCACGGAACCTTGTCACGGGCAAAAAGCCAAACAGCTGAAGCTGGAAGTGCTTAAAAAGTGCTGGAACCGTGGTAACCAGGTGCGCGTGCGGGGCAGCACTCCCAAACCGGCCTCTCGGACACCGAGCGGCGGCCGCTCCCCGCTCCGCGTCCCACCGTCATCGCGGGAACCCGGCCCCGAGGAGCGGCAGGACCCACCTCATAGTCCTGCTGCCAGCTCTCCAGCTTCTCCTGCAGCGCTCGGGCGCTCCCTGTGCCCAC